TAAGACTTCAATGTGTAACCTTACATGTATAGCTTTTAGTTAAGGCCTCAGTCTGCTTCAGATCAGCAGGTTGTTTGTCCACATTGCACCACATCTAAAAGTAAAAGCCTTTCTATCTGCCCTTAATGCCCACACTGAGACGTCCCTGGTTCACTGATATTCTTCTCTCTATGCAGCAGATGTACACTGCTCAAAAAAATAAAGGGAACACCTAAACAACACATGTAACTCCAAGTCAGTCACACTTCTGTGAAATCAACCTGTCCAGTTAGGAAGCAACACTGATGGTGAATCAGTTTCACCTGCTGTTGTGCAAATGGAGCAGACAACAGGTGGAAATGAGAGGCAGTTAGCAGGACAACCCCTATAAAGGAGTGGTTCTGCAGGTGGTGACCACAGACCATGTCTCTGTTCTCATCCTTTCTGGCTGATGTTTTGGTCACTTTTCTATTTTGTCAGTGCTCTCAGCCCTAGAGGTAGCATGAGGCGGTGTCTACAACCCACAGAAGTTGCTCAGGTAGTGCAGCTCATCCAGGATGGCACATCAATGTGAGCTGTGGCAAGAAGGTTTGCTGTGTCTCTCAGCACAGTGTCCAGAGCATGAAGGAGATACCACGAGACAGGCCAGTACACCAGGAGACGTGGGGGCTGTAGGACGGCAACAACCCAGCATCAGGACGCTACCTCCTCCTTTGTATAAGGAGGAACAAGAGGCACACTGCCAGAACCCTGCAGAATGACCTCCAGCAGGCCACTAATGTGCATGTTTCTGCTCAAACTGTCAGAAACAGACTCCATGAGGGTGGTATGAGGGCCTGATGTCCACAAGTGGGGCTTGTGCTTGCAGCCCAACACCGTGCAGGCTGACTGGCATTTGCCAGAGAACACCAAGATTGGCCGATTGGCCATTGGTGCCCTGAGCTCTTCATGGATGAGAACAGGTTCACACTGAGCACATGTGACAGATGTGACGGAGTCTGTAAACACTGTGGAGAACATTCTGCTGCCTGCAACATCCTCCAGCATGACCAGGTTGGAGGCATTTCTTTGGAGGAACACACAGCCCTCCATGGGCTAGCCAGAGGTACCCTGACTGCCATTAGGTACCGGGATGAGATCCTCAGACCCATTGTGAGACCATATGCTGGTGCAGTGGGCCCTGGGTTCCTTCTGATGCATGACAATGCTCGGCCTCATGTGGCTGAAGTGTGTCAGCAGTTCCTGCATGATGAAAGCATTGATGCTATGGACTGGCCTGCCCGTTCCCCAGACTTGAATCCAATCGAGCACATCTGGGACATCATGTCTCGTTCCATCCACCACAGACTGTCCAGGAGTTGATGCTTTAATCCAGGTCTGGGAGGAGATCCCTCAGGAGAACATCTGCCGCTTCATCAGGAGCATGCCCAGATGTTGTAGGGAGGTCCTACAGGCACATGGAGGCCACACACACTACTGAGCCTCATTTTGACTTGTCTTGAGGAATTTCTGCTGAAGTTGGATCAGCCTGTGGTGTGATTTTCCACTTTTATTTTGAGTATGAGTCCAAATCCAGACCTCCATGGGATAATTATTTTGATTTACATTAATCATTTTTATGTTATTTTGTTCTCAACGCATTCCACTATGTAATGAATAAAGACTTTCAACTGGAATATTTCATTCATTAAGATCTAGGATGTGTTCCCTTTAGTTTTTTTTTAGCAGTGTATGTATCAAAGTAATTTAAGATACAGGTCTAGGCACAAAATAATTAAATAATGAGGATAATAGTGCTAGGTGATAATAGTGGACAGGTCGCCAGCCTACACTTAGAGACAGACAACCAAGCACACTCACATTCACACCTACAGACAATTTAGAATCACCAATTAACCTCAACATATTTTTGGACCATGTGGGAGGAAGTTAGAGAACCCGGAGAGAACCCACGTTGCATGGGGAGAACATGCAAACTCCACGCAGAGAGATCCTGGTGCCCCCACTGGGATGTGAACCGGCAACCTTTTTGCTGCGAGGCAACAGTGCTACCAACTGAGCCACCCTGCAGTCCCCAGTTGCAACATAGTTTAAATAGTATCAATTGTTCTCTTAGCTTTAGTGTATAAGACCTTTTTGAGGCCTTGCTCACAGTTCATTGTGTGGCAGCACCATAGCAGGTGGATATGCTGTAAGTGAGGCTCCTGATCATATCTTGATCACCAGACTGGTGAGGAGGACAGAGGCCAGGAAACTGACAGTGAGGATGGATTAGAGGAGGAAGAGTCAGAAGCTGAAGATGATACAGAATATAATCCAGACCATGGTGTGGATGGAGGTGAATGTAGGATGGAAGCAGGGAAAATTTTTCAAGAGGAGGCAATTCCTGGAGGAGTTGGGGAAAGCTATGCTGGCACCCCACATTCAACCACGCCAACACCTTCCTGGCGTCTATCCCAGCTGACTTAGGGCAAAGGCAGGGACACCCTGGACAGGTCACCAGTCTATCACAGGGCTACACTTAGAGACTGCAACTGTGCCACCTTGCAGCCCTTGGTCCAAATCAAGTGCTGTTTACTCCACTGGGAGGGATCAGCGCTCAGACTTGGTTGTTGTTTCAGTAGCTGTTGCTCTACTAGATGTATTTAAATATGTGGTATTTCAGTAACTCCACCTCTGTTTGAACACTGACTGCATCGGTAGCTGTGTGTGTTCAGCAGGTGTGGTGGCTGCTGCAGGTGCAAATCGACACACTTGAAGAGCTGAAGATGACTGACTGAATTCAGGCTGAACGCATTCAACAGCCGACTGAACAAAAGGAGCAGACATGAGTTTCAAATAAGAAGAAGTGGACACAAACTATTACACCAAGGTAATGCTGTTGTTTTCTTCTGTGTGTCCGTATTGCGTGGTTGTGTGTCTGTCAGCTGCTTCTTTCTTTCTTCCACTCTTTTCCTTTTTTTTTTTTTTTTAAACTTATCTTCTCTTTTGCTTCCTTTAGTCCTTCCACTTTTGCTTCTTTATTGTTTGTCTTATTGTTTGTCTTTCATCCTGTTTTTCACCTCTTCCCTTCTCCCTTTCTGTATTCTTCCACTTTTTGTTCCTTTTGTTCCCCCTTTTGCTACAATTCTTTCTATATTTCTATTGTTTATTTGCTCTCAGCATTCATTTTCATCAGTAAACACTGTTTTCTGTCACATGATTGAGAGATTGGTCTTTGATTGACTTCATGGTGTTCATTCCATGTGTGCTTAATGCCCAACACTAATGATAAACTACTACAGCTCTCATCATCGTGGTGCTCAGGGATATGCAACCTGTACAGGAAAACATAAAAAAACATCAGTAATACAGAAAGTGTGTCTTATCTGCAATGCTCTTACCGGAAATCTATTATTTATTGGATATTTAAAAACGGCAGATCTTTTCCGTCTATGTGCTAGTTCAGCTTCACGTGTGTGTGTGTGAAATATGCAAACAGCTTTTGGTTGTTTGTGGGCTGTCACTTATTCATATGTTTTTTTGTTTGTTTGTTTGTTTGTTTTTTAGCCACATCTACAGTCTATGTGATGATAAAACACTTTAACTGGTTCAAAATTACAGTTTACTGCTTCCACACACACAAAATGGCTCTTACATCCATGAAATTAAATGGAAAAAAATGATTAAAAGTTGCAGCAACAAGATCGCCGTTTGTGTCTCGGTGGGGGCACTGGGATCTTTCCGGGTTCTCCGGCTTCCTCCCACAAGTCCAAAAACATGTTGAGGTTAATTGGTGATTGTAAATTGTCCGTAGGTGTGAATGTGAGTGTGCTTGGTTGTCTGTCTCTAAGTGATAGACTGGTGACCTGTCCAGGGTGTCCCCTACCTTCACCCTAAGTCGACTGGGATAGGCTCCAGCCCCCCATGACCCTAGTGAGGATTAAGCGGTCTATAGATAATGGATGGATAGATGGATGGATAATTAAAATTTTACTCATCAGTCTACACTCAACCCTAAGTGAGAAAGCGAAATCTGTTTGAGATTTTTGCAAATGTATTTAAAATCAAGTCGTGATATCACTGATTTACAAAAGTCTTCAGATCATTTCTTGTGGCACTTGTTGTCAGATGTATCCTGTTTGCATACATTTTCCTTGAGATGTTTGAAGAACTTATTTGGAGTTCACATTTTGGAGACTGAAAGGACTGGACCATAGGCTGTATATAGAGACAAGCATGGTGGTGGTAGCATTGTGCTATTGAGCTGTTTCCTAGTGGCAGAGAACTAAAAGAGGGTTACTCTAGAGTGCAGCAATCTGAGATTGTGGCAACGATTCACCTTTCAGCACGGCAGCGAAAAAAACAGTCTGGACAACCCTTCAGTGTTCTCAGGACAGGTCTCTGACTTTCCTTGAGTGGGCTAAAGGTCAGTCAGCTGTCTGTTCTCTTGTTTCAAACGACTGGAGTCAAGACAGCCAACATCAAACACACTGGTCCTTTATTGGTCAAGGACACATGTCTGCTCTGCCATGTCTCTCAGATGACTCAGCAAGAATTTATGATTGTAATAATTTAATCTGACACAGTGAGCATCTTATCAGACGTGAATGATGTGTATCCTGACTCCAACATGAGGTCTGGGTGGCTTTGGCAGCACTCGTCATTTTCTTGGTGGGGCAGTTTGTGTGTTTCAACATGACCAGCACCATCCTACTCGAGTGTGCTGGTGAAACACTTCCAACTCAGTCCAACAGAGCGGGAAATGTACTTGTCGTCACTGACGACTTTAATATTGAGTTGCTAAAAAGGGACAGGGTCCGGCCTCCTGTTGACGCCTACCTCAGATGGACTGTCGATGATGGGGTTTCCCTCTGATTGCAGAGAAAACAGACTGGCTGTAGATGGAGGGAGGAGACGTTTCCTTTCTTTGATCAAACAGTTTTAGGATTGTTTTTAAGGAAAAGCACAGTCCCTCCGTCACTTCCTTCCTCTTCAGTCGCTCACTAAAACAAATTCCTTTTATTCTGAGTAACACAGATCAGAAACAGTCCAGTCTCAGCCAGTCGTCAAGTGGGGATGTGAACATTTCTGTAAAACTCTGCAAAAGTAAGTCAAATGTTTCCCTTAGAGCTCTAACTTGAGGGAAATTTTTGCATTGTGATTTAGTCATACTTTGTTGTTTGGACATCAGCAGGACTAACAAATGTTTGGCATTTTGGTAGATTATTACACACTTTAATAGCACCTTTTAACCTGTAGTAAAACCACTGAAAGCTTGATCTGTCACTTAAGCAGGTTTCTGAGTAAAATGCAGATGTGAACAAAATACTTGGGGCAAGTGAAGGCAGCAGCAGAAAGAACACAGAGAAAAGCCTGTCCAGCAAGTTAGTCAGTAACTCCCCAGCTACTGCACTTCAACTAGCTAGTCCTGGGGTAGTTTGTACTACCTCTCAGGGTTTCTCATGGACAAGTGAATGTATAGCAAAGAGGGGATCCAGGGGTGCAGTGCTATTTGATTAGGTATAGGAGCACAGTTAAGTTGTAACTTGTTTCATCCTTCTTTGTAACCACTGTTACTACGGTGGCAAGATTAAATAAATTAGTGGATTTTAACTGACCACATGATCAAATGTTAGACTGACTTCCTGAACAGTTGATAAAGTCATTAAAATCAATAGTCTAGTTAAGCCATATTTGTAGATAGATGTGTTGCAACCCAGCTTGAAACCTCAACCCAGCTTGAATGTATTAGTAA